AATTTACTCTAGATCCAAAAATCTCATCTAAATATGATCAACTCAAAGAAGAATAGAGAACCCAGAAACACCCACACATGTATAGCCAACTAATTCCCAACAAAGGGATGAAAGCAATCAATGGAGAAGGACAGTCTTTTTGGAAAATGGTGCTAGAAATAGGATTCCACATAACTTCAGTCTATACCTCACACCATATTTGAAAATTAACTCAAAATGGACCGTAGGCCTAAATGTAAAAACTAAGTTATAAAACCCTTAGAAGACAAATGTCAAAACTTGTCCAATTGTATATTCAAATCTGTGTAGTCAATTGTATGTCAATTATTCCTCAGTAAAAAAGAAAAAAAATCTACCCATTTATATTGATTGATCTGTAGAGAGATAGAGGTAGATATATAAGGAGGGAGGAGTCTGTGGATTGTGCCCCAGGAAATCCAGCACAGGGCAAAAGAGGGATTGGATTACCTGTGTCCAGTGAACAGGAGATACAACAGCTCCCGCAGGACCCTTCCACCCGTGAGGGGAGAGCTGGTGCGCATCTTTCCCTTCCCACCTGGCCTTGCAAAGCTGGACAACGAGAAAGAAGTGGCACCATAGCTGCCGTTGGGGTAGGGAGCAGGTTGACATTGTGCCAGGAGCAAACCAGCTACATGAAAAATGCCCCCAAAACTTCCTTGTTCCCTTTTTGCCAGGGAAAGACCCTCTTACTCTCATGGCCAGTTTAAAGACTACATACCATCTGCAAAGGGAGCATCCACTGTCACCACGCTCACCTTTGAACTGAGGAGACAGGCCCCTGGGAGGAGTCTGGGCTGTGTGCTGGAATCCATTTCAGAATAAAACCTCTCATTTAAGGTTTGTTCAGGTGGCTCTGTGAACACCGGGGTGAACCGTGACTTCCCACATCCAGGAAAGAGTGTCCATCGATGCCGATGAAAGGTGAGACATTACCAGTGGCCCTGCCTGGTCCTGAAATCAAGATTCAGAAGAGGAGAAGCCAGCAAGCAGGTGGGCATACACTCAGGTCCCTTGCCATCAAGGCTCTGATCTCTCTTATTGTTCCTGAAATTCCGGCCTTGAACAAAAGCTGGATCTGAGACAGACACGGGAATTGGCCCTGTTGTGAATGACTAGGACAGAGAAACAGCCCTCGTCCTGTAAATTACTGACTATGCAGGCATGGTGTGAGTGCCCATGAGAAAAGCAATGCTACAGTGAGAGAAAAGGCCACAGACAGGGCACCATTGTGTGGAACAGAAACCTGTCTGCCTCCAGAGAGCAGGGCAGGAGGGCTTGCCTTCTGTTCAGAACATGCCCAAGCCTTTTCTCTGGAAGCCCTTCATCCATCTCCAAATTCTCAGACTAAATAGGGCAGCCCTAACTCTGAAGTCCCCAGCTCCAATGCCACCAGTGCCACCTTCCCAATTCCCTTCTTCCACGTTTCCTTCTCTTTTCTTCCAAATCTCAGAATTCCACCTTCCCAAAGGACATGTGCCAATGCCCATGCCATCCCTCCCAAGGACCCCCACCCCTCCAGGCACATGGAGCAACAATCCTTCCTCCGCCTTCCTCCCTCAGCTGGACTCTTCCATGTCCCTGAAGACTCAGCTGAAATGCCACCACCTCTCTGAAGCTTCTTCTGACCACATAGGCAGGGTCTGCTGCCCCCTCCCCTGGGTCACAAACACTCAGTAAACCCCTCGGTTTTCCCCCTGGTCGCACTGCCCACTGCTGTCTGGGAGGCTGGCCACAGGGCCTCACAGGCTGACTGAAGAGACTGAGCACATGGAGATGCTCAGTTGGTGGACTAAACGGACAGATAAATGCTAATGGTGTCATTTGTGGGTTACCGTCATTGCTAGCATTCTCATCAGCAGTAATGTCTTAATGCACTCCTAAACCCAAAATACATAACTAGGAGGTTTACCAAGCAGGCGATCAGATGAAGGGGAAATTAGGTTCCCTGTCCTCATGCATACCTCCCCTAGCAGGAAACGCTGAGGCTTTGGGCAAAGTGCCACCAAGCCCTGAAATGAGGTCCCCAGCATCACATGCCCCTAGGAGTTTGGACCTCTCTGTTCAGAGTCTACTGTGGGAGGTAAACCTGACACCCATACTTCTGAGGACATGGAAGAGAGCGCTTGCTGCTCGGGGCAAGGAGAGAGACCCTAGGTGGTGGGTCCAGGTAAAGCCTAAGAGAAGCAAAGAGGCCGAGGTCATAGGGAGACACGGTGCCTGTCAGCTGCAGCAATGGGCTCAAAGAAATGAGTGGCTTATGTCACCTGGTTAAGATAACCAGGCTGACCCCAGCAACCATGAATCATAATCAAGCCAACTGAGTTTGTTAGTGAAAAGGGATAGATTCCGTCTCCTGTCTGTCATTCCAGCAGTTGAATACTACTTTACAATTATTAAGCAATCGTAAGCCAAGTACCTTCAACAGGGGGAAAAACATCTTTCCCACTAACCACTCCAGTTTATGTCAAAATCCACAAACGGCAGATTAATCGAAAGTCTGAAAAAAATTAACTAGCATGCCACAAAATTAAGTTTTATCCTATGCAAGTGCTCTCTGCAACAATTACATGGTGGGGTGTGGGGGAGGGGCTCCTTCAGTTTTGTCAAATACGAATGACTAAATATTGAAACACAATTCCCCCCACGTCACTGCTGCAGATTCACTTCGCTGCTGCGAGATTTCACGAGAAGCGCGATAACAGCCTATATAAAACGTCGCTATGGAATATCCATGGAGAGTTACAACGTAACGTTCGTTGTTCCGCGGTCTCCGGCTTGTTCAGGGACATCCTGGCGCTTGGGCGCCCCCTAGGGACTCCGCGCGGAACAGGAGCCTTTGCTCCAGCTGTGGGGGCTCGCATGGCTGTCTGAAACGGAGGAGCACCTAGGGATCGGCCTTAGACATTCTCCCTGGGCTTCTCCTGCCCGCTGCTCAGAAGATAACGGGGTTAAAAAGTGCCACGATGACCAGCCCAGCCCCGTGTATAACACTGTACTAGACAAAGGCGGACGTGCGACCTCAAGAATTTTGAAACAAAATCCGGCTCTAATTTCAGTCAAGTCTCCGTGGTTATTTCAGGAACAAATGTAACCCTGAGGGATTTGCTCTGTTTCCTTTAATTTTTCAGTGAAATCGGAGACCCTGTTCTTGGCTGTCAACGCAGAGAACATACAGCTACGAGGAAGGAGAAGGAGAAGGGACATCAAGGACGCTGTGGCGTACTTTAGGGTGACCAGGGCGGGTCTCCCACAGCTGAGCGCTGGACTCGGGGAGCCAACAGGGACGTGCGGGGCTGCGCAGGCCCCCTCGGTTTGTCTTTGATCTCTTCTCCTTTGCAGAGCTTCGGTTATCACTATATTTTATTTTATTTATTACTTATTTGTTATGAGGAAATTGGTCTTCCCATTCTAAAAGGAGGATATATACACGCATCCACATGCATACATATGTGCATACACACAGAGAGGAGAGAGACAGTGAATGGATGTCAGCTTCACCCGCAGCTGCGTAGTGGGCTGGCCAGGGTAGTGGTCTGAGGGGCAAACGCAAGGGTGTCCTGATTCGCTGTTTCTACCGCAAACTGAGAAAGGCTCCTCCAAGACACCTATCCACCTCCTAGGGCAAGAATCCATTTTCAACAACGTCCAGGAAAGTCCCCTCCCACGGTGGTCTGACGGGTTCCCTCTGCTGATCCACAAGCTCTTCCTAAAAGAGCCTTGGGAAGCGTAATTCTCCGTTCAATCCTGGACCACTGGCGTCCTCTGTTGGTCGCCTAGGAAAGGGGCGCACAGACCCCGTTGAAAGGACTCGCACGGAGCAGGCCAGCCCGGCTCACCGCGACCTCAAGGGCGAAATTGCTCCCTCTGACTTGCACCCTAGAGCAAAGTGTTTAGATCGCACAGATGAGCGAGAATCCCAGTCTCCACTTCAACGCACCAGAGAGAACCTGGTACAGGGATGCAAGGCGGCCTGAGAAACTGAGCGTGAAAATTACCAATGTTGAGGGTCTATTCGGCTATTAATTACGCTTCAGCGGTGCCTCCTTTATTGTTTTTATTGTTGTTTCGTTATGCATATAAACTCTATTTGAAAACGATATCAGGGAGAATACTTAAGAACAAGAACAGTCGTGACGTCAAATCTTTGACAAGCCGTTCTAAGGACCCACTCGGGGCCGGCCCACTTTGCCAACTAGGACTTGAAGTGAAACAGCAAACGTGAGCCTCCGCAGCTTTGAGAAGTGAACCTGAAAAGGGCGAAGGCCGAGTGCGCACCTGCGGATGCGCTTTCATAGGGCCCGCGGTGGGGGGTGCGAGCGGCCTGGCGGGCGCAGATAAAACCCCGAGTGCCTTGGCTCCCCAAGACCCCGGCGCGAATCGGGTATTCTCATTCAGAAATGTCCCACGACTTCCCCGACTCGAGGACTGAAATTTTGGAAAGCTTTGTAAAGTACACACGGATGAGGAGCGGCGCATGCCAGTTTTCCCTACACCGGCTTGCCGCGGGGCGACCTCACCCTTGCGCGCAGAGGGAGAAGGGCGTAAGCACCAGGGTGGTCGGGGGCGCTGAGGTAGCCTGGGGCGCGGAGACTCCACGGTGGCCAAGGGGCTAGGGTAGCCAGAGGCGCCGGGGACGGCGGGGTGGCGGGAGCACCAGGCATGTGTGGGGGAAGCAGGTGCCCGACTTGCCGCGCGCTGCGCGTCACCGCATTCGTCCCGGCTGCACAGGGCGAGGCGAGGGCCCCCGGAGCCTGGTCGGCTCTGGCCCGCCCCCGCCACCCCTCCACCCTGGCGTGCCGTTCCGGGGCGTGTCCTCGGCCACCCCGGCTTCTATATAGCAGCCGGCGCGCCCGGGCCGGCCAGATGCGAGCGCGACAGCGCGGCACTGAGGATTGGCCGCTGCCTACCCTGCTCCCGCAGCCTCGCGCCGCGCGCTGTCGCCCCGTCCCCGCGCGCCCCGGCCGGCCGAGCAGCAGGCCCCCGCGGCGGGCGCCATGCAGCGGGCGCGCCCCGCGCTCTGGGCAGCGGCGCTGACAGCGCTGGCGCTGCTCCGCGGGCCGCCGGCGGCGCGAGCCGGCGCGGGCGTGGCGGGCGCGGGCCCCGTGGTGCGCTGCGAGCCGTGCGACGCGCGTGCGCTGGCCCAGTGCCCGCCACCGCCCGCTGCGTCCGCGTGTGCCGAGCTGGTGCGCGAGCCGGGCTGCGGCTGCTGCCTGACGTGCGCGCTGCGCGAGGGCGAGCCGTGCGGCGTCTACACCGAGCGCTGCGGCGCCGGCCTCCGCTGCCAGCCGCCACCCGGCGAGCCGCGCCCGCTGCAGGCGCTGCTGGACGGCCGCGGGCTCTGCGCCAACGCCAGCGCCGCCAGCCGCCTGCGCGCCTACTTGCTTCCCGCACCGTCCGCGCCAGGTGAGCCGCCCGCGCCAGGTGCGCCGCCGCAGCACCCCAGACCCACAGGCCTTTAGCCAAGGCCAGGGATGGGACGGTGCCGCTGCGGAGACTCTGCTGCTCTCCCCGCCGCAAGGGTTTTACGTGGGGAAACTGAGGCCCTGCGAGGCAAGGGCGCTCGCCGGAGGGCCCCTCCGCAGGCGGCGCTGTATTGGCTCCATTCCCTCAGTGCAGAATGCTTGTAAATTGCAAAGCGCTTTCGGTGAAAATGGGTCGAAGATTTCCTGGGGAGGGAGGGGTGTGATACCATGGTTGGCGGCCAATGGAAAGATCCAGGACAGAGATTCTCCGCCTTGTGCGCCCGCGCAGCGCGGGAACGTGGGCGTGGACTGTGCGGCCCAACCTTGGGACGCGGCTTCGGTTTCCCACGATCTAGGAGCGAGCGTGTTCGTGCCAAGGACGCTGTGGGGGCCGGGGGCTCAGGGAGGCGACCAGGGAAGCTGGGCAGGCACGTTTTAGGAAATTGTACCTGTCTTTAAAAATACTAACATTTGCACAGACTTAGGGTTTTCAAAGCAGTGTCACATCCCGGGGTGTGCAAAACCAGCAAGGTGGGAATCCAGTAATGGTATCTTTTACAGTGGGACAACCTGACGTTCAGAAGGAAGTGACTCACCAAGGTCCTCCGGAGGCAGGGAGGATGCTGGAGGCTGAACCGTCTTTGCCACTCCTGCGTCGTCCTCCTTGTGCACCACCCGCCCTGGTGCCTGTGTAGCCCACAGGTGCGGGGTTGCGGGGAGTGTGGACGCATAGATTTCAGTGTCAGCAGAGAATTGGAATAAACTCCAAGACTGTATGCCGTGTCAATCTGAAGTGGAAGGAATGAGGTCCAGTTCACAGGAGCCCCGAAGAGTAGAAAACCTAATATTTGGCAGAGTTGCTCCACTGTCTGGACCACAACCAGGCCTGCGGCTCTGTGAAGGACATCACGTTGTCCCCTTAGAAAACAAGTCTAAATTCTGTTGGCAGCTGTTCCTCTAAATTTCGGACAGGCTTAGGCAGCCTCACTTAGTTATGAGTGAAGTTCCCACATAGCTGAAGGCTGGGAGAATTCCGCCCCCCTCCAGGCACCAGCTGAGCAGAGCAGTGGGCAAGCCCCCGCCTAGGGCTAGCAGAGGAAAGTCCCCTTATAATGTCCACACCTGCAGGTTTCCACTCCCGTTGGGGCTGTTTCCTTGCTAGGCAGGGACGGCTCCATTTATCCCAGAGAAACACCATTCCAGAATTGGTGGAAAGGCAAAATTCCAATTGCCTAAAACATACACTGTTTTATGCTAACAGACAGACTTAAAATCCTTAGATGCATTTGTGTCTCAGGGCAAAGCTATGTTGTTTGCTGTGTGTGTACTTTGTTGTTCTAATGCCTTTTTTGGACATTCGAAAAGTGATCTTTGAAGTGCTTATAAACATTGTCTCTTTTAGTTAGACTATAATGTGCATTATGATTACTACCAGAGTAGCTCCATAGTGTAGGTTAATGTGGTTTATTATAAGATTATAGAAAGATCTAAGTGACTTCTAAAATCCACTTGGCGGGGAGGGGTATGTGAATTTAAACGACAGTCAAAAGTTAAAGTGATCTGTTGCTTAAATGGAAAGGGTTTCTCTTCATGCCTAAGTCAGCAGGCATTAGAAACAAACCAAGGAAGTTTAAGAAATTACTCAGAGTTCTTAGGAAAGAAATGCAAATATGTTTATTTACGTACTCTTAGCATCTCCTTTGCCCCAGTGCTTCCCTGAAAAAGGAAAAAAAAAAAAAAAAAAAACAGTAAGATGAAAGGAAATTGAAACCAAATTCTACCAATTAAGAACTTACTCCAGCAGGCTCTGGGCTAGAGGAATTTGTGCTTCCCCAGACGCTGGACCCCTTGAGAACTTTGCAGCTCCTTTTCGCTATGGGACTGTTTCCCCGGTGAGGAAATCGAGACCCAGAGAGGAGAGGGGCCTCCCCAGACTCTCCCAGTGCACCTGTCCTGTGCCTCCAGGAGAGAGCGGAGCGTCTGCAGCAGAAGCAGTGTGTCTTTCTGCAGCACTCAACCCGCCGGGAGCCCTCCCAGAGCTAGGCATTTGCTCCTCAGAGCCTAGAGCCAGAGGCCTTGGCGAGCTTCCCAGCAGGCGGGCGGGCTGCCACTGTGACAGGCGTGTTCCCTGGAGGGTTCAGTTGGAGCGGGGCACTTGGCATCCCAGGCGTAGTAGATTCAGGACCAGATGGCAAAAGAGCCCCTCCGGGGAGGGAGGCGTCAGGGCGTGGCTTGTCGAGTGAAATGATCATTTCACAGTTACCTGGCTGTGCAGAGCCAGGCAAGAGGAAGGGGTTCCCACTGGCCCTTCTCCTGTAGCCGCCCCAATTTCATCCTGGAAGAGGAACAGAGAGAGCATTCTAGCTATGCATCAGCCACCCATGTAGTCAGTACACTTGACCTCCCAGTGACACTGTGGACATCCCAACATCAATGTCAAGTCTGTCTTCATCAGCAGGTTGATTCCCCCGGGAGATCTGCAGGAGGCGCCTCCTTTGCAAGGACTGAAAGCTCTTTGGCACGAAGGGGTGCCAGCCTTGAGTGGAGCTGTGGTGCTGTCGGAGTCCCGTTTGCCCCTGTGTAGACAGGGGAGGAAGGACTCACCTGGGAAAGTGCCCCAGGATGTGCAGGGTCTGTGCAGCTCTCCTGGGTGTCCCAGACCCTGCATGGGCAGTGAGTGTTTGAGATAGAACGGCGGGACCTATAAAACACCACCAGACATGCCTGCATGAGTCTGGGGACATGCAGCAAAGGCGCTTTGTGGAGAGGAATTCAGTTTCCCCATCTGAGCCGACAGAGATCCCTCGGAGCCTTTTGCCTGCTAGCACTTTAGGCCAGCTCTGGTTAAACTTGAGTGAGCGTCAGAACCCCTGCAGGGCTTGTTGACGCCCAGACTGCTGCCATCATCCCCCAGCAGGACCGGGTGGCGCGGGGAAGGTGCCTGTCCACCAAGTCGCACACTTGGGAGACCGCATTGCAGCAGCCCTGCGCGTTTCTGAATCCCCCACGGAGCCTTCCTTGGCTCGAGTCTGCCCCCTGCTGGTGGAGGATGAGAGGCACTCGAAAGCTGAGAGGTGAAATGCATTTCCTTCAGCGGCACCCTGCTTCCTGAAAGCACATGTCAGGTTTCATTCTTAAAAGGTGGCTTCTTCTACTAGTATTACGGAACAACACTTTATCAAGGTTTTTTTGTAACACATTTGGAATTGTTGAATAACGTTTCTGCTTAGATGTGACTTGGTCGCAGTAGTAAGATTTTAAGAAGAATGTCATTAAATATCCATAACAGTCTTTGTGTCCCTTGTGCTTTTCAAGGAAACAGCAGTGAGTCGGAGGAGGACCACAGCGCAGGGAGTGTGGACAACCAGGCCGTGCCCAGCACACACTGCATGCCGGACCCCAAATTCCACACGATCCACACCAAGATGGACGTCATCAAGAAAGGCCATGCCAAGGACAGCCAGCGCTACAAGGTCGACTACGAGTCTCAGAGCACAGACACCCAGAACTTCTCCTCCGAGTCCAAGCGCGAGACAGAATACGTGAGAGCTTTTCCTCCTGTGGATGAGGGAAGCGGGGTGGAGGGGGCGCCACAGTCACTCTTTATTCGAAAGCGCCATCGGTAAATCCAGGTGGTCCAGTGGATGCTGTGGGCAGCCTCGAGCCCCTCCTTACGTAAAGGATGTGACCCTTCCCGATCTCGGAGGTCTCCTGAGGGTCAAGAGAAATAACATCCATAAAAGCGCGTCATGTGCTCTCCAGGCTTCTGAGGTTCAGAGAAATGTGCTCATGAAGCCGCTTCATTTTGTTCCCTCGGCTTCTGCATGTCCTGGCCTCTGGGGACTCTGTCCCCAGCTCTGTGCCTTGCTCTGGGGATTTCATGAGAGTGACACGAGCCGTGGTTGGCATCCTTCTAGGAATGTCGACAACTAACTCGGCAAAAGATATTTGAGGCTAAAGGTATTTGGGGAGCACCTTGCAGGTCCCACTCGAGAGGGCTCCCTGGGTGTCCGGGATTTTATGAGGCAGAGTGAGTTCCCGAGTAAGCCGGCCTCCTCCCCAGGGACCCTGCCGCCGGGAAATGGAGGACACGCTGAACCACCTCAAGTTCCTGAACATGCTCAGCCCCAGGGGCATCCACATCCCCAACTGCGACAAGAAGGGCTTCTACAAGAAAAAGCAGGTGAGCAGCGTCCTCGCGCAGTGCTCCTTTCTCTCCCTCTGTCCCCCACGCAGAGGAAAAGCCGACTTTGCCAACCCCCAGTGCTGGCCACAGCCCCAGCTCCCGGCCCACGACAGCACCCGAGGCTGACCCAGGGCCGCTCGCTCTAAAACCCTGAAGCCTGGTGCTTCTTCCTCCTGACCCGCCGCGCAGTGCGATGCCACCCGGGCCCTCTATTAACCATAAAGGGACTCCGACATGTTGACACTTTCATTGGCACTGCCTCGTGGACTGACGTTTTGAACGATTGTAGAGAATTTCCAAGAAGCCTGATGTGAGGTCTTCAGACAGACAGTTCACCCTGAGGTCCCATGTTGGTCCCTTTCTCACCCAGGCCTTCCAGACAGTGACGAGCTGCAAGGGATCAAACCCACTGGTGGTGTAGTTGTTCTGAGCTGCCACAGATGCGCCTCCTTGGGTCACGATATGTCAGGGCAGCTTTTCATTCGGCCTTCCGACTGGACGGGTCCCACAGCCCCTGCAGGATTGGCCCTAGGATGGCGTGGCCGCCCCCAGAGTGTTTGTGGTCACATCCTTGGTCAGAGGCCCCGTCCTCCTCAGGGGCCACTGGTCGTTGGCCTCTTTATCACGCCTGTCTTCCGCCAGTCACTATGCAACAGTCCTTCGTTCCAGTCAGGTCTTCTGTCCCTGTGGTTCTTTCAGTCACTTGTTCCGCAGACTCTACTGGGAGGGTCCAGATGTGCAGCCTGGGGTGTGCTCTGAAAGACACAGACGTGACATGGGCAGGCGGGAGGGGCGTTCACATTCCCTCATTCAGCATATAGGCCTGCGGGGACGACAGTCCAGCGTCTACCCGAGACCCCGGGGACACAAAACTGTACCGCCTGCTGCTTTTCTGGAGAGTCCACCTGCACAGGCAGCACGCCACCACGTCGTGCACACAGGGCCCTGCCTGGCCTCTCCTGGGGCCTTCTCAGCAGAGCAGAGGCCATGCTTGGGGCCACCCTGGGTCCTGGGCACCTGCCCTCGTCATCAGGAGCCCCATGGTGGGAGCCTCCCCGGGGCTCCCCCTCACTCCATGTGCTCTGCCCGCAGTGCCGTCCTTCCAAAGGCCGGAAGCGGGGCTTCTGCTGGTGCGTGGACAAGTACGGGCAGCCCCTCCCGGGCTACGACGCCAGGGGCAAAGGCGACGTGCAGTGCTACAGCATGGAGAGCAAGTAGACCGACCCGCAGCCACGTAAGCTGGGACTGGGCCTCCCAGGAGGGCTGGGGTGGGAGGCAGGGGCTGCAGGCCTGTGCCTGCCCGGGGCTGGGGACCCAGGGCTGCAGCCAGCCCCTAGGACAGACACACAGGACAGAACCCTCAGGAAGGGGCAGGGAGGCCCCCACCTAGCTGAACAACGCAGGGAAGTGGGTCTGTGGCCAGGTGGTCTCAAAGATGCTTCCTTTCATTTGAAACAACTTAGAACGTGTAAACATTCATACACACATAATATGAGGTTTTCACAGTTAAACTTTGATGGTTCATTTACCTTCACAGGTAAACTTTTAATCCAAAGAAACGTGTTTCTAAAGGATGTGGCTATTTTTTTCCCATATAATGTATTAGGGCTATTCTGATAGTCTTTGATTAATATAATTGTAATAAAGTTTATTTAAATCTAATACAAAAAATGACATTTTAAACCGTTATCTTGAAGAATGCTATCATATTCGATATTTTTTTCTTTTAATATATCAGAGCTCTATTGGGGAAAAGAAGAAGAAATGTGTATTTCCTTTCATCTTCTCAAGACAAATTTAAGTAAACAGAAGAAATTTTCATTTTTAGTGATAAGTTTTGTTTCCTTGCAAGTTGGAAAAAAATCATTCTAATTTCAGGGTGACTCTTTGTGACAGCGAACCCTGCGAGCCCCTGACAGTGTTCTTCGCTTTGTCACAGAGTCTAGGGGGTCCCCCAGCGCCAAGCACCCCGGCGTCAACCTGATCATCCTGGGAAGGACTTGAGCTCTTTCAGTTTGGAGGGCTGTTATTTCAATATGTTTCTTTTCCTTTTTGTTTTAGTTCATGTGGAGCTGAAATACGCCTTATTTTGCACAAAAGACTGCCTACGACATGATCAGCAGCTGGCTACAGCCTCGATTTATATTTCTTTTTGTGGTGATCTGATTTTTTTTTTTAAACCAAAGTTTAGAAAGAGCTGTTTGAAATGCCTAGGGTTCTTCTAATGGTGAACTTGAGCATCTTTCTACTTTCCAGTCATCAGTGAAACGCGGTGTGGTTTTTCCCGTTGCTTCCTATAAAAATCCTTGTAAACTGCAGCGCAGTGCGGCGGGACCTCACACTGTCCTGGAACTCCGCCTCTGCTTCATGCCGCAGTGACTGTGTTGCTTCTGTCGATGAACACTTCTTCCCCCGTCTCTGAAATGAGCGCAGGCTGGTCGGGGACGGGACCCCTGCACTCTGGTGTCTGGATATCCTCACGCACCACCTGGAGCTTACGTCTTTGAAGCAAGGGCCTGGGTTCCTCTACCAAGACGTTTCTTATCTTCAAGTGACCTGCATTGCTTGGGAACTAGTGGAGAGAATAAGATAGAGTCTTATTTGTAAAAAACCATGACCAAGGATGTTCTGGGGAACTCTGGGAACCTCTAAAGGCGGGTATTTCTGACCCTCATTGTCAGCAGCTCCCTGAACACACAGCCTTTCCTGGTGGCCCCGCAGGGCAGGGGGGCGGCGGGGCAGCAAGAGTCAGTCCCTTGTTTTCAGAGGCATCACGAATAATAGCACGATTCTTCGATGACCATAGAGAATAGTGTTTTCCATTCAACAATTCAAGACCAAGTTGATTTTTGAAGGTTAGCTCCTTAAAGGTGAAGGAGATTTATTTTCATCTCTCGCCTCTGTCCTCCTTGGCACAATGTAAACATAACATCCTAATTTTATCTAGCCAAGAAAAAGGAATGGCTTGTTGGGGAGCCCAGGGAGGACCCTGGAAGCGCACAGAATGCCCGTGCTTGCTGCACTGGGACGCATCCTGCTTTTCTTTCTAACTCACACATATATGCAGAGAAAACACGTTCTTCATGACCTGTTAACATTGTATACGTCATAGTCCAGATATGCTAGGACCTACACTAGATAATCCTAGATGAGATGTTAGCGATGCTAGAGAACATAACTACGGCCATGACCGAGGAAAGAGCCTGCGCAGGGCCAGTGCCCCAAGGCCAGCCCTCGAGCTTGGCGGCGTGGGTGCTGAGGGGGCCCGCACCACCGCCGGCCTCCGGGGTGGACACACACTGCGCACAGCCCTCCTGGAGAACACAAAGGGGTCTCGAGACATTCTGCCTACCTATTAGCTTTTCTTTATTTTTTTAAGTTTTTGAAGAAAAAAAGTATTTTTGAAAAGTTCGTCTTGCAATGTATTTATAAATAGTAAATAAAGTTTTTACCATAAAGAAGTCCCTCACCCCTTGTTAGTGACTGGCTCTGCATTGCGGGTTACTAATGAAATCATCCGGAGGGGGTGGGCTGTTCCAGGGGCACTAGAACGCTTCGTAAACCAACGCCTTTGCCTGCTTCCACCTCCCGCAAGAGAACCCGAGGAGACAGCCCGGAGGCCTCCACTGGCCCCATGGATGCGCTGGGTCATGTCTGCTGTGAGCCTTGAGGTCCAGGAGTTCAGGTGTTGACCCCGGTCCCATCACAGGAGCGGGCAGGTGGGAGCAGATCAGCAGACGCACCTCGTGACTGGCCCTCTTTTCCTTTAGGTTTTGTCCCCCGTTGTCCTATCCGTCACCACTCAGGGAAGGCTTCGTGTCCGAGGGGGCCAGGCGTGAAACACGTGCAGGAGGATTCAGTGCCACTTCCCGGCCTGAGACCCTCTCGCTCCACCTCTGTTTGGAATAGGAGAGAGACCCCAGGAGATGCTCAGGGAGCAGGGGTCCGTTCTGGGGGCTCAGTCCCCTCTCTGCTGCCTTGGGACAATTACCCTTTGTCACAGAGCCACTTCAGGCAAAGTTCTGAGCCTGTGACTTCCAGGCCTCGAAGGATAAACTGTATGTCAAGGAATCACCTGTTTAGAGCCCTAACTGGCGCGTTAATAAAACATCTAAGATGGGCCCCTCGTCACAGAGTTGCGTGCTGAGCAGTGAGCCCTGTGAGTGTTCAGGGCTCTGAGGTGTGGGGGATGGCCGTCAGGAGATCACATGGGGAACCAGGGAAAAGAGGGCAACTCCTGGGGGTTGGGGTGCCTGCCAAGTCCCGAGGGCAGAGGGAGGGAGCGGGCCAGCAGAGCAAGTTCATGGCGGAAGCAGGAGCCAACGGGCCATGGGGTTCTCGGAGCCAGCTATGGGGTGCCTCAGCGACAAGCCAGTGTCTGGGAAGCCTGGACAGAAGCCTGCCAGGCCCTGTGCAGCCGCTTTGAGCTGTGAGCTGCACACGGGATGCGGCTCTGTAAGCCCACTGGACTTGCCTTCCTGGAAGCACTGAATCACGTGCCCTTTCTTGTCCTCACTCTCCTTAACCCCCAACCTCTGCCCATCCACACCTTTTGGTCCTTTCCTTCTAAGTGCTATCCTATACAGTAAACACGTGAAGTTGCACCACCTGGCTCTCCTCTCCCCGGTCACTCCACCCTCAGCTGCCCAGCTAGACACTCACAACTCCTCTGCCCTCCCAGGCTCATCCCCAAACACCTTGTATTACCAACCACCATCCCCCAGACACACAGAAATGAGTGACCAAGGGCTCGCCCCTCACTGGGTCAAGGCCACACAGATGCTACAGCAACCGCTTACCTGAGTTTGACTAACACATCGACACACCTGAAAAATAACAATCACAGACATTGACAAGGGTGTGGTGACGATTCTTCCCCACCCAAGGACATCTGGCAATTTCCGGAGACATTTTTGGTGTCACAATGGAGCGTGTTAGTGGCATCTAGCGGTGGAGGCCAGGGAGGCTGCTAAACTTCCTACGATGCACAGGCCGGCCCCCACCACAAAGAATTATCCCACCCAAAATGTCAATGACGCCGAGATTGAGAAACCCTGATTTAAACAGATGGTAAAATGTGGCAGTTAAAATAAAGATAGGCAGTTTCAATTGCCAAAACTCAAGATAAATTTTATTACAACTGACAAGGATTGAAAATAAAGGGATGGAAAGACATAGACAAAATCTATTCAAAACAAAGGTAGAGTAGCTATTAATATCAGACAAGGTAGAGTTTAAGACGATGTTGTATTAGAGACAGAAAAAGTCTCTACAAGACAACAGGAGGGTAAATGAACCAGGAGGATTTGGCCATTCTAAACATGTGGGCACCTAATAAAATGTCGTACATTTTTTCTGTCATTGCTTTCTGCTCTTATTTTTTATTACTTCTCCTGTGTGTTATGTCTTTAAGTTATTTATTTGAAAATTAATATAATGACCCTCTGGCATTATTGGTAGTTAAACAGAAGGAAAAGGATCAGCAAAGATTTAGAAGATCTGAAGCTTCAAAACTGGCCAGCTTAACCCAAGAAATATGATCATGTAATAAAATATGTCTTGATTTTTAGCAATTGATTCTGCCTATCTTTTCTTTGAAAAAATCTAACAAAATAGGCAAACACCTAGAATGGCTGTAAAGAACAAAAAGGGAAAGTTACAACTAATAATATTATGTTTGACAGACAGAATGTAACAGATAAAGCAGAAGGTAAACAGCTTATAATAAAATACTATCAAAACTAGATATTACCCATTTTGAAAACCTAAACAAAATACAAGATTTCTTAGAAATTATAATTTTGGAGAACAAACCAAAAGCCTGAATATTCCAATAATTGTGACAGCATTTAAAGGAATACTTTAAAATATTCCCATAAAGAAAACAGCAGGTCCAAAGGATTTGACTAGTTCCACCAAAAACTTAAAGAATGTATTGTCCCATTCAATAAAACTTTTTAAGAAGGTAGAAAAGAGAAGACTATACCCAGATTTATCCTACAAAACCAGTACAACCCCACAGCTTAAACCCACAAAGACAAAAACGTACAGGAGCATTGCGCTCAGCCACGTAAAAGTCCCACGGTCCATATTATACCATGACCAACTTGAGTTTATTTCCGGCATACAAAATAATATGAGAAAATCTATAAATATATAAATATAATTAATCACAGTATATTAAAGGGCAAAAATGATACTTTAATAGACACAGTAAGAGCAGTTTGAAAAATTCAACATAACACGACTGTTAATAAATTAAAACTGTAAGAGAACTTCCATTGTCTGATAACATGTAAATATTAAAAAAACAAAAACCAGTAAGCGTCATCTTAAATGGAGAAACGCTAGAAGAAGTCCCTTTTTGAAAACTGAACTAGACAAGGATATCCACTCTCACCATTTCCATTCAACGTGGTATGAGAGAACTGAGCTTATACAGTAAGACCCTCCCAAAAAAATAAAGACTTAACAATTGGAGATCACTGTCATTATTTGCAGATATCATGACTGTTTACATGGAAATCATCACAGAACCTACAAATTATTATAAATAATAACAGTATTTAGCGAGATGGCTGGATATAATATACACAAATGAGTTTCGTTTCAATATCCTGGCAACAAACAATCAAATATAATTTACAAGAAGATTTCGAGTAAAGTAGTCTCAGAGAATATAAATTTTTGCAATTTTTAAAAACCTGGAAATAACCTGACTCCCACCAACAGGAGCCCGCGTGAATAAACTGTGGCGTATTTGCAACAGGCGGACCCTAAATGAATGAACTGCAGGCCATGCAACGATGCAGGTGATGCAGAGCCCTGTAGCATCGAGTCTAAATTCCACGTCCCTAATGAGCCATCACACAGTGGGTGGTACACACATGCTGCGTGGTACACTTTTTATGATGTTAAAAAAAATTACTAAAAGAATCTAAAAGAAAACATATTTTTAAAAAATAGGTATAGATGAGATAAAACTAAATCCAAAGCGAAGCAATGAACGATGATAAGTTATTGCCAGAATTCTAGTTTTCGAGTTGGATAGTGAGACCACAGATCCTTATTAGATTATTAAAAAATAGAACAAATAGTAAGAGTGCCAAGCACCGGCCAAATGAGAGTGTGCTATAAACCCGGGAGTATGATGAGTCTTTGCAATTGATTGAAATGGGTTCAAAAAAGAATAGAAGGAAAGAAGTTGGAGCCAGCCAGCAGGCGATTCTTTCCAGAAGTTGATTCTCTCTCCCTTCTGTACCCCAGTCTGCCTCCCCTGATCATCATCTGCAGCCTCCATAAACCAGCTCCTCCCTGGTCTTCTAGCCTCCGTTAGCCTCTCCTTAAATCCATCATAGCCACTGCCTCCAGAGTCTTCCACTAGCTCGGCTCTGACAGTGTCATTCCAACCTGAAAATCTTTTATGAACAGTTTTATAGAGATATAATTTCCATGCCACAGGATTCTTTCATTTAAAGTGGTACAACTCAACGGTTTTTACTGTAGTCACAGACGTGTGTAACCATCACCGCAGTCAGTTTTCAGACATGTTCGTCACTTCAGTAAGAACCCCTGTACCCTTTAGCTATCGTCTGCCATCCCCCTCCCCAGCCCTAAGCAACCACTAATTGCTTTCCGTCTCTATAGATTTCCCTGTTCCAGACTTTCCTATGAATGGAACATATAACATCAGGTCCTTTACGACTGGCTTCTTTCACTGAGCGTACTGTTTTCAAGGTTCATCCATGTTGTAGCGTGTACCAGTACTTCATTCCTTTTTATGGCCCAATAATATTTCATTGTATGGATATACCGTATTTTGTGTATCCACTCATCCATTGAACATTTGGATTACTTCCACCTTTGGGCTGTTATAAATAATGCTTCTATGAAAATTTATGTACAAGTTTTTGCATAGACATCTATTTTCATTTATCCTGGATATGTACCTAGAAGTAGAATTGCTGGGTCATATGGTAAATCTAGGCTTAATCATTTGGGGAACTGCCAGACTGTTTTCCAAAGTGGTTGCACTACTTTACGTTCCCACAGCAGAGTATGGGGGTTCCAACTTCTCCACATCCTCACCCGCATTGTTATCTGACTTGTTTTGATTATAGCCATCCCACTGGGTGTGAAGTGGTGTCACATTGTCGTTTTGATTTGCATTTTCCCTGATGACTTATGATGTTGAGCATCTTTTCATGTGCTTATTGACCATTTGTATGTTTTCTTTGGAGAAATTTCAGTTCACATACTTTGCCCATTTTTTAATTGGGTTATTTATCTTTATGTTATTGAGTTGTGAGAGTTCCTTATACATTCTAGATAGCAGTCAATTCTCAGATATGTAATTTGAAAATATTTCCTCCGAGTCTGTGGGTCGTTTTTTCGCTTTCTTGATGCAGGCCTTTGAAGCACATAACTTTTTAATTTTGATACAGCCTCTTTTAATCTTTTTTAGTTTTG